TGGGCTCTCCGCTTTCCACCGTTCCAGGGAGACCCCTAGTGTGCCAGCCCTTCTTCAGGTCACCACCTCTCTGCCAGGGTCGAGCTGCAGACTCCTCCACCCCTGGGACCGCTCGCTGCGATCCCGCGGGGGACCCTGTTACTGCAAAAGTCCTTCTCTCTGGTCATACACTCCCAGGGGTTAATCGCCCCCTGAACCGCCTCTCTCTGACTCTTCAGCCCACCAGGTCCCCATCAATCCCCCTTCATTTTACTGCTCCCCAGTCACTTACTGCAGGAAGCGCCGTCCACGGGGTGCAGTACATCCCACCTCTGCCACCAGTTGTCACGGAGTGTGGGGGAACACAAGGCCCTGCACCCCCGGCTTCCTGTGATTCACTATGACTCTCAGCCAGCCAGTAAAGCAGAAGGTTTATTTAGACTACAGGAACACAGTCCAAAACAGGTCTTGCAGGCACAGACAACAGGACCCCCTCAGTTAGGTCCATCTTGGGGTCCCAGGGGCACCACAGGCCCATTGGGGGGGGGGCAGAGCCCCGTCTGGGCTCCCTCCATTACCAGCCAGTTTCTGAAACTCTCCCTCTCCCAGCATCTCCTCCCCCTGCCTTTGTTCAGTTTCCCGGGCCAAGGTGTCACCTGGCCTTTAACCCCTTCCTGGGTTCTCACGTTACGTGCTCAGGTATTCTCGCTCAAGGCCAGTCTGTCATCCTCCCCATGCAGACCATCCTAGCCACACTCCCCTGCCTTCCCAGGCCAACCCTCCCCACTCAGCATTCAAAGACCACATTAAGAACAGTCCCAGTTCGTCACGGGGGTACAAATATGTTTCTAAAATTAGCTTTGTAAGTGAAAGTAGTGGAAGATTTTAGCCTTCCGGCTCATCAGTTAAGCAGTGCTCAGCTCCTTACAATGGTTCTTCTTATTCAACATTTTGTCCCTGCTGCACAGTGTGTGATGAGAGGCATTGTCTGTGTTCATCAAAGGGAGAACCAGTCCCTTGTCCCTGCTCAGGAAAGTGCAGGATTATGGAGCCGCTCATCCACCATCACTAGAGAAAATGAAGTCTATGCACATAAGCTAGAACAGCAGTAAATGAGAGGCAGGGTTGCCTAGTGGATAGCGCAGTGGACTGTTGCCTGGTCTACACTACAGAGTTGGGTCGATGTAAGACAGCTTATGTCAACCTAATTATGTCAGTGTACACACTACAGCCTTGCTCCTGCGGCTGTAAGTGCTGCACTACAGCTCCACGAGAGGTGTAGGGCTTATGTCGGTGTAGTTAAGGTGACGCAGTGTCCATGCAGACAGTGGGGTTATTTACATTGACTGTTGGCTGTCTTGTCAATTGCACGGTTTCATGCTGGAGCTGTGAAATTGACAAGAAAGTCGGGATCACATCTCGGGCTGTCACCCTGGGGAAGGGGGGGGTCTCCAAATAGAGCCCAGCTGCCCCCCAGGCTCCCAGCTCCCCACTCCCAGACAGGCTGCTGCCTGGTCTTCCCATCCAGAGCCAAGCTGCCACCAGAATCCCCACTCCCCGGGGGGAACCCTGCTGCCCCCTAGGGGCCCTGCTACGATCTGGGCTGCTGCATGGACTCCGGGCTTCCTGCTCCCTGCTGGGAGCCCGGGTGCTGCCCAAATTGGAGCCTTGGTGCAGCTGGGCTCCCACTGGGGAGTCAAGAGCCCGGTGGGGAGTGGGGGCAGTCAGGCTCACAGCAGGGAGCCGACAGTCCAGGAGACACCCAGGGCGTGGTGCTCCTGGCAGGGAGCTGGGAGCCTCAGTGCAGTCAGGCTCCAAGCAGGCAATAGGGACCCCGTAGCCCAGGCGGCACCTGGTCTCCTGCAGGGAGAGGGGAGCCTGGACAGCAGCCTGGCTTGGATCAGGGAGCCCGGGGGGCAGCTGGGTTCCCAGTGGGGAGCTGTGCATGGAGCTGTGTGCGGAGCTGAGAGCCCAGGCTCTCAGCCCCACTCATTGCTCCTCTTAAGTGAGTGGAAGCGCCCCTGGTGAGGACAGGCACCACCAACAGAAGGAGGGTAGTATGGACATGAACCACTGCAGTAAGTTGACCTAACATAAGTCGACTTAAATTTGTGGTGTAGACACGCCTGGAGTGTCAAGGGACAGCGGTGCTATTCCTGCCTTTGTTACTGAGCTGTGCATGGACTTGGGCAAGTCTCTGTGCCTCTGTTTCCTCTCTCACCCCTTGTCCGTCTTGCCTGTTTAGACTGTAAACTCTTCAGGGCACCAACTGTCTCCTGTTATGTGTGTACAATGCCTAACACACCTGGGTCCCCGTCTCAGCTGGGGCCTCTAATCAGGGGCACCAGAATAGGTGGGCAAGGGGGCCATGGCCCGTCCACTTTTCGCCATGGGCCCTGCTCTCGCCCCCTCCCCCACCTCCCCAGGCAGGTGGAGGGTCTGCAGCTCCCAGCCCACCCCAGCTTCCGGCTTTCCTGGGGGCGGGGCCTTGGGTGGAAGAGGTGGAGCAGGTGCAGGGCCATAGAGGGGGTGGGGGGCCCTGGCCACCCAACTTTTAGGAAGACTCCGCCTCCCCTGCCTCTAATCGCTACTGTCAGAGAAACAGTCATAGGCAGTAACTCTGATACACCTGTACTTCGTGTTTCTCATCGTTTTAACGCACTGACAATGTTACATTCCACATGAAACCCTTCCAGCTACTCATTCCCATCCACAGCACAATAACTGTTAACTCTGAGTAACCTGAGCTGCCAAGCACGGCCAAGACTGGGTATTACACGGAGTTCACTTTATAATCCCAACAAGATCATTCCCTTTTGTAAAGTTACCAAACTTTGGTTACACAAATACTCACTATAATTCCATGTCACTGCAGGAAGAGTGAGCGGGTTCAATCTGGTTTGACAGCGGAACTCCCACCCATGTATAAACACACACGAGATAAATATGCACATTTGGACAGTCATGGACGCCCATCCCCTGAGTTGCTCCAGTTTGGAATAAAGACACCACAGTGTAGTAAAGCTGCTCAAACTAAAACAATCGTTAGGTTCATAAGAGGACAAGCTGAGGGTTAACTGAGACTCCTCACAAATATGAAAACACTCTTATCATGACATCCACACAGCAAATACTTTGCAAACAGCATCAACAAAATTAGTGTCAGATTTCTTCAGTACCAAACAGTTCACAGGCCACACACCCTATGAATTTAAAACATACACTGTTGATTGGGCATTAATGTGACCACACCGCCCTGAGCTGAACCAGCAGCCAGCACCCAGCTCTTCGAATAGGCTGGTGTCCTTCTTGCGGTTATCTTCTTGCTGCAATGAGTAAAAGTAGGCCTGTGAGTATCAACGCTCAGGGCAAAAATCTTCACCTCCCCTGTGGTGTGGCTGTCGCCCTCTGGGTCTGGCTGAACTACGGGCTTGTTTACACTATCTCTTACTTCGGCATAACTTATGGGGGTGAATAACCCACACCCCTGAGTGACATAAGTACCCCAGCGCTTAGGTCAGTGTAAGACAGCGCCATGTCAGTGGGGAAGCTTCTCCTGCCGACATCGCTACCACCTCTCATGGGGGTGGAGTTATTATGCGGATAGGAGAGCTCTCTCCCATTGGCATAGAGTGTCTTCACCTGATGCTCTAAGGTGGTGCAGCTACATCAGCACAGCTGTGCCGTTGTAGTGCTTCTAGTGTAGACTAGCCCTCACTGAAGAGTTTGGCACCTTTTTTCTTTATACCTGGGAGTGGAATTGGCCCCCACTCTTGGAGATACCCTACTGAGCATGCTGCAAGGGCTCATCAACTTTTCCTTTGTTTACCTGCAAGTCACCAGCTAGCTGGAGTCAGTGGACAGCTGCTCCTCTCTTCTGGCAGGAACAAAACCAATATTGGCTACTACTGTTTAAAAGGAACTGCAGCAGAGGCACTGGGGGGAGGTTGCATATAATTTTCACCTTAGCCCCATTAACCTCAGTTCTTGTCTGTCGGACCAAAACCTTGTGAGTCACACCCCTTCTAGGAGAGGACTCCTGAGCCTGTTCTCTTCTGGGCAAGAATCTGAGTGGGAAGGCTCCAGACACCCGTCCCTTCTCTGTCTCTCCTTGTTGGTTGTTTCCCTCTGTGTGAAATTTCCAAACACCCTAAGGGCCTCTCTGCACACAGACTGACCCCGCAATAATGAAAACAGTTTGAACTCACACCTTTGGTCTTGGTATAAGACTCTTGTTTCAATTTTTTTATTTCAGTTTAGCTCATCAGTAACAAAAACCTCACGTATGATCTGGTGTGGGAGGAGTGACCTTAACCCTGCACTTCCTTGTTATCTAGTGTTTGTGTTTCTGTTTTGCTGAGTGTATTTCCTGGCTTTCAGAGGTACCCAGGGTCACTGGAACAATTTGTATAGTGGGGGTGCTGAGATCCATTGAACCAAACCGTGAACCCTGTGTATGATGGAAACCACTTCAAGCCAGGGGATATAGCAGCACCCCCAGTTCCAGCACCAATGGAGGTACCAGTTTTCTGCTCTCCACTTCTGCATTCTGGAAGGGTACAAGGCACTGCCAAGGCAATCTGAACTCCCCTATAATAAGGTTTTTATTAGTGAATTAATGTAAGGCTTGTCTACACATACATGTGCGCTGGTTTCAATGCACGAGTGCAAACCTCTCCGTGGACACTCTTAAATGAGTTTGGAAATGGCTTACGTTGATTTATATCGAGTCAATTCCTTTCTGAATTCAGAGTGTTAACACAGGGATTTGCTCTTGATTAACTAAATCATTTTAGCTAAATTGGAGCAAATTTGTGCATAAAAAAGCCCTGACATTAACATTAATTCTACATGCTGTATATTAAATAGGAATCTGACCAGATTAACTGGCCAGCTGCACTCATGGACTCACATTTGATTATTCATTTAATAGGAAATGGCTTCTTATAACGGTGTAATAAAACTTTGACTCATTGCTGGTCACAGTAGGATTATCACAAGTTCATTTATTTCTTCTATAGGTTTGGGGTCTGCTCCTGTCATCTCTGTGGAGGGACATCAGGATGGAGGGATCCGGGTTGTGTGTCGATCAGCCGGATGGTACCCACAGCCCAAGGCTCAGTGGAGAGATCTCCAGGGGCAGCTCTTACCATCAGCCTCTGAAAGCATATCCCAAGAGTCCAATGGCCTGTTTCAAGCAGAGATTGCCATTGTTATAACAGAAGAATCCAACCAGAAAGTGTCCTGCTGTGTCAGGAACCCCCATCTCAACCAGGAGAGAGAGTCAGCAATTTCCATAGCAGGTCAGTGCCCATCCGTGCTGCACATGGATAGATTGAGACGCTGCAGACATGGGCAGAGAGTATTTGTCATTGTGTCTCCTGTTTATTGGCCTGGACCTTCAAGGTGCTGAGCACTTCCTGTAAAGTCCTGAGCAACCTCAGTTCTCTTTGGATGTATCTACACTGCACTTAGACACCTGCTGGTGGCCTCTGCCAGCTGGCTCAAGCAAAGGGCCTCAGGCTAAGGGGCTGTTAAGTTCCGGTGTAGACATTCGGGCTTGGGCTGGAGTCCAGGCTTCAGACCACTGTGAGGTGGGAAGGTCCCAGAGCTTGGGCTTCAGCCTGAGCCCAAATATCTACACTGCAATTAAACAGCCCCTTAGCCCGAGCCCCATGACCCTGAGTCAGTTGGCAGGGGCCAGTAGCGGGTGCTAATTATAGTGTAGACTTACCCTTTGACTCCAGTAGAAGCTGAGGGTGTTTAACACCTTGCAGGCTGGGATGTCATTGGCCAGATTTTCATAACAGCTCAGTACCCAGCAATCATCATCCTTCTCAATGTGGTTGGTGGAGTGAATTCTCTTTTGTTCTTGTGGTATAGAGAGGACTGTGTTGGAATTGCAAGCTATCACTTTAAGAGAGGGGGGTTAAAGGGCTCTGTAGGAAAGCGTGTGAGCAGAATCAGGGCTTGTCTACAGAAACAGTTAGTTCACAGTGAGCTGGGGTGTAAATCTGTCTCACACTGGCCTGCTGGGCACTGTCTGTCTGTGTGGACCCTGCTACATGCACTAACAATTCCATAGAGCGCTTTGATCTACCCTACTTTGACTGGAAGGGACCTTGAGAGTTCATCTAGTCCAGTCCCCTGCACTCATGGCAGGATTAAGTATTATCTAGACCAGTGGTTCCCAAACTGGGGTTCGTGAACCCCTGGGGGTTCACGAAATGTTACAGGGGGTTCTCTGGGAAAAATTCCCTAATGGCGGTCAGAGCTGTCCCTAGGGACCCCGGGCAGCATGAGGCCAGCAGCCCGGAGCCCCTAGACTTCCAAGAGCTAAGCAGATCAAAGCAAGCAGATCTATCACACTGGGGAGACTTCACCTCCCTTTCCATTTCTTATAAGGTTGATATTTTTTGCTGTTTTTAAAATTAAATAGGCAGCTAGTATTGTTTTTAAAATTATTATGAAGAACAAGTTTAAGCTTTGTTGTAATGTGCGTTGTTTGCCTGGACTGCTCAAGACCTGAATGCTTGTGTAGGAGGAACTCTTTGAGTTGGCTTCTTAAATAACTTCCTGCTGTTTCACATCTGATACTCCTTGATGAAACATAGGAGCCTTGTCTTACAACAAGCTTATTCAAAGTGATACAAGCTACGAAAGTGAGATCTTGGAAGAGTGTTGCCGTTTTCCTAATGTAATAAAAATACTGTAATGATAAATAATAATTAATAATACATAGTGTGTAATAAGCATGTCATAAAAACAAATGTTATATTTCCAAGATCACTGCTTTTATAATTTATACTCAGGTAAAGGAGAAAATCCCTGGATATATTCATTTTTAAGAGAGGGTTCACAAGACTTGACATTTCAGTGAAAGGGGTTCACAGGTTGTTAAAGTTTGGGAACCACTGATCTAGACCATCCCTGACAGGTGTTTGTCTAACTTGCTCTTAAAAATCTCCAATGATGGAGATTCCACAACCTCCCTAGGCAATTTATTCCAGTGCTTAACCACCCTGACAGTTAGGACATTTTACCTAATGTTCAACCTAAACTGCCCTTGCTGCAATTTAAACCCATTGCTTCTTGTCCTATCCTCAGAGGTTAACAAGAAGAATTTTTCTTCCTCCTCCTTGTAACAACCTTTTATGTGTACTTGAAAACTGTTATCTTGTCCCCTGTCAGTCTTCTCTTCTCCAGACTAAACAAACCCAGTTTTTTTTCAATCTTCCCTCATGGGTCATGTTTCCTAGACCTTTAATCATTTTTGTTGCTCTTCTCTGGACTTTCTCCAATTTCTCCACATCCTTCCTGAAATGTGGCACCCAGAACTGGACACAATACTCCAGATGAGGCCGTATCAGCGCAGAGTAGAGCGGAAGAATTACTTCTCATGACTTGCTTACAATACTCCTACTAATACATCCCAGAATAATGTTCACTTTTTTTGCAACAGTTTCACACTGTTGACTCATACAGTAACTCCTCACTTAAAGTCATCTTGGTTCACGTTGTTTTGTTGTTATGTTGCTGATCAATTAGAGAACATGCTCGTTTAAAGTTGTGCAATGTACCTTATAACGTTGTTTGGCAGCTGCCTGCTTTGTCCACTGCTTGCAGAAAGAGCAGCCCCTTGGAGCTAGTGGTGGGGGCTTGGAACTAGGATGGACCGGCAGCCCCGTTAAGTTCCCTATGCAGCAGCCGCCCAGCAAGCTATCAGTTGCCAGGCAGTTCAGCTGTCCCTTCCCCCACTGCCATGTGCTGCTCCTGCCCTCTGCCTTGGAGCTGCTCCTGGGAGCCTCCTGCTTGCTGTGCAAAGGTCGGGGGAAGAGGGGTGCTAATGTCAGGGTGCCCCCTTCCCCCCGCTCCTGCCCCTCTGCTTCTGTACCCCATCGCCACAGAGCGGGGGGGTGGGGGGGATGGACATGACAGGGCCCAGGATGGAGGGAACTTGCTGGCAGCAGCTGCTGCCTCAATTTGCTAATCTACTTAAAAAGGCAATGTACTTAGAGTGGGGCCATCGTACTTAAAGGGGCAATTCGCGTCTCTCTCACACACACGGTGTGTGTCTCTGTCTCTCTCTACTATGCTGTCTCTCCTCCCTCCATTCGTGCTGCCTTGTAGAGTATGAGGCTACATTAACAACAATGTGTTAACCCTTCAGGGCTCAGCCGAGTGCTAGTTCATCATTTAGCAGTAAGGCATTCCCTGGGAAATATCCCACCCCCTTCCACCCTCTGACTTCACAACCTCAACCAAGCTTCACAATCATCATTGCTGTGTACAGTATTAAACTGTTTGTTTAAAACTTATACTGTGTATATGTGCGTGTGTATATATATAGTATTTTGTCTGGTAAAAAAAATGTCCCTGGAACCTAACCCCCCCTATTTACATTAATTCTTATGTGGAAATTGGATTCACTTAACATCGTTTCGCTTAAAGTAGCATTTTTCAGGAACATAACTACAACGTTAAGCGAGGAGTTATTGTATTTAGCTTGTAATCCATTATGACCCCCAGATCCCTTTCTGCAGTACTCCTTCCTAGGCAGTCATTTTCCATTTTGTATGTGTGCAACTGACTGTTCCTTCCTAAGTGGAGTACTTTGCATTTGTTCTTATTGAATTTCATCCAATTTACTTCAGACCATTTCTCCAGTTTGCCCAGATCATTTTGAATTTTAATCTTATTCTGCAAACTACTTGCAACCCCTCCCAGCTTGGTATCGTCCACAAACTTTATGTGTGTTCTCTCTATACCATTATCTAAATCATTGATGAAGATATTGAACAGAACCGGACCCAGAACTGATCCCTGCGGGACCCCACTTGATATGCCCTTCCAGCTTGACTGTGAACCACTAACTACTCTTTGGGAATGGTTTTCCAACCAGTTATACACCCACCTTATAGTAGCTGCATCTAGGTTGTATTTCCCTAGTTTGTTTATGAGAAGGTCATACGAGACAGTATCAAAAGCCTTACTAAAGTCAAGATATACCACATCTACTTCTTCCCCCCACCGACAAGGCTTGTTTCCCTGTCAAAGAAAGCTATTAGGTTGATCTGACACAATTTGTTATTGACGAATGTATGCTGACTGTTGCTTATCACCTTTTTATAGTCTAGTTTTTTGCAAATTCATTGCTTAATTATTTGCTCCATTAGCTTTCTGGGTACTGAAGTTAAGCTGATTTATCTGTAATTCCCCGGGTTGTTCTTATTTCCCTATTTATACACTGGCATTATATTTGCCCTTTTCCAGCCCTCTAGAATCTCTCCCATCTTTCATGACTTTTCGAAGATAATTGCTAATGTCTCAGATATCTCCTCAGTCAGCTCCTTGAGTATTCTAGGATGTATTTCATCAGGCCCTGGTGACTTGAAGACATCTAACTTGTCTAAGTAATTTTTAACTTTTTCTTTCCCTAGCCTCTGATCCTACCTCATTTTCACTGGCATTCACTATGTTAGATGTCCAATCACTACTAACCTTTTTGGTGAAAACTGAAACAAAAAAGACATTTAGCACTTCTGCCATTTCCACATTTTCTGTTATTGTTTTTTCCCCTTCATTGAGTAATGGACCAACACTGTCTTTGGTCTTTCTCTTGCTTCTAATGTATTTGTAGAATGTTTTCTTGTTACCCTTTATGTCTCTAGCTAGTTTAGTCTCATTTTGTGCCTTGGCCTTTCTAAATTTGTCCCTACATACTTGTGTTATTTGTTTATATTCATCCTTTGTAATTTGTAATTGCAATTTTTTAATTCAGAGCATACACACGGAGAGTTAGAAACAAAGCATAAATACTCTTCCTGAAAGGTTGCAATGTAACACTGCTTTATTTCTGAGACTCCAGAACTCTAACACACCACAGCTAAATACAGAGAGAGACAAAGCAGGCTTCTCCCTAAGGCAGAGAGGCAGAACTCAACCCACCGTGGTGTAGGCTGGTTCTTTGCAGATTGACTGCAGAGGCCCCAGATTGTACACTCCCTGCAGAGCCCCTTAGCCTTCAAGCAACACCAGGATTTAAAGTGACACTTGTAATTTTTACACTATTTTCAATGCACCATTAATGACTTAGCAAGGACCCTCTATTCAGCCATTGCTCTAGAGCCCAGGCAACAGGACTCTGGAGAAATTTTTACTCTGAATTTCCAGGCTTACATTTTGTTTTTATTAAAGTCCTTCATTAACATATTTTGGGCCAGGTTCTCTCATGTGGCTGAGCCCCACTGAGCACAGGTGAGTCGGAAGTGTCAGGAAGCTCCTCACAACTCTCTGATTCTGAGGGCCAGTCGGCACTGGCTGCAGCCTTGGGATCAGTTAGAGCAGCCTAGGGACTGCTTGAAGTTATGTCAGTGGGATTTAGCCTTATCTATAGTTATGGGTTACGTTAACCAACAACCCATCCCAAGGTGACGGTTTAACCTAATTTAATCTGTGAGAGTTCAGCCCCCGAGATTGACTATAGTAGAGAGGTTATCAATAGAAGGGGGACCCCATGGTGCACAACAGAGACTTCATAGTGCTCTCTCTACACTAATTACTTTGATTATCCAGCCAAACAATACACATGCTGCAGTCTGGCAAAGTAGAGAGAGACCAATATAGAATGCACAGTATTTGCACTACTCACTCCAGGCCTTGCGGAAAAACCCAAAGTGTTACTCCTCATCTTCAGCTGTCATCTCCCCACACCAAGTTGCACAGGCTGGGGTAGAGCTTTTATAATCATAGAATATCAGGGTTGGAAGGGACCTCAGGATGTCATCTAGTCCAACCCCCTACTCAAATCAGGACCAATCCCCAGACAGATTTTTGCCCCAGATCCCTAAATGGCCCTCTTAAGGATTGAGTTTACAGCCCTGGGTTTAGCAGACCAATGCTCAAACCACTGAGCTATCCCTTCCCCCGCATAATCTATACACTCTCCCTCCCCCAGCATAATCATCATTATGCTGATGCCCACTGGGGTTCAAACATATTTATGAAGGTTTTAACCCCTATTCCTTATTTCAACTTCCATACCTCACTCCTTTTGGGGTGCTCCGTTTCTCATTGGTGAACTCATTAGTTCCCCTTATATTCATTAACATTTACATCACCATGTCAACATAGTAACAGGCAGAAGTCTTTCACCCCAGCTACCAATGGTCGTCTTGTGGTGTGTACGGATTTCTCATAGACATTATAATACAAACTCAGCACTTCTTTTCAAAACATCAGCATATCACAAACAGCCACAAACTCAGCAGGTATATTATTAACGCACTTATGCTAACGTATGCTAAGTCCTGAGGCCTAATTTGGCTAAGTCAGATATTTTACAGACCTGAGGCCAGTAGGCCTGTGTTACAACATTGATTAATATTTATTGGGGTTGTTAAATGATTAAAAATAATTAATCACACTGTTAAACAATAATAGAATATCATTTATTTAAATAATTGTGGATGTTTTCTACATTTTCAAATATTTTGATTTCAATTACAATAGAGAATACAAAGTGTACAGGGCTCACTTTATATTTATTTTTGATTACAAATATTTGCACTGTAAAAACAAAAGAAATAGTATTTTTCAATTCACCTAATATAAGTGTGACACTCTGTACCTTGGGGGAACACCCTACACCCTATTTTCATCTTTATAAAATGATTATGTGGCATCCAATGCAAAGTTTGTCATGTTGGGTGTCTTCGAAAGGCTCATGATTCACTGAGCATGGTTGTTATAGTAATTGATACAGTAATGTTATAGGTTATAATTTCACGGATATAGTTACGAGGCTGAAAATGTAGCCTCATGGCTTAAAGCAATCCCAGGCAAAAACTCTCCAAGAACAGAAAGGCAGTTCACACCTCATCAGGGCGTGTATGGGACTAACCCAGCCCAGTCTCACAGGAACAAAGGACACTGGCCTAGGCAACAACAAAAGGATTTGTTTGACTCTCAAGGGAGTCTCCCCCCCTTCCTTTGGTCAGTTTGGAACTGCGATGAGGTAATGCTCACCTGACTCTGAAGGGGGCGGGGCAAAGCCAAGAGGAAAGAAAGAACACGATAAAAGGGAGAGACGTTTGCCATGCTCTCTCTCTCTCTTCCACCTACATCTCTACACACACCACACCAAGCTACTGAGGCACTGATCAAAGGGGAGAGCCTGGCTGAAGAGAAACCAGCCAGCCTGTGGTGAGAAGCATCTACGTTTATAAGGGCATTGAAAGTGTTAAGATCAGCTTAGAATGCATTTTGCTTTTATTTTGTTTGACCAAATCTGACTTGTTATGCTTTGACTTATAATCACTTAAAATTTATTTTTATAGTTAATAAATCTGTTTGTTTATTCTACCTGAAGCAGTGCGTTTGGTTTGAAGCATGTCAGAGACTCCCTTTGGGATAACAAGTCCAGTACATATCAATTTCTTTGTTAAATTGACAAACTTATATAAGCTTGCAGCATCCAGTGGGCATAACTGGACACTGCAAGGTGGAGGTTCCTAGGGTTGTGTCTGGGACCGGAGATATTGGCTAGTATCATTTGGTTGCAAGTAGCTGGGAGCAGCTTACATGCCAGAGGCTGTGTGTGAACAGTCCAGGAGTGGGGGTTCTCACAGCAGAGCAGAGTAAGGCTGGCTCTCAGAGTCAAAGATTGGAGTGACCTAGCAGATCACTGGTCCAGATAATACCAGAGGGAAACATCACAACAAGTACTGTAGTGCAATCTCTTTATCATGAAAGTTGAACTTACAAATGTAGAATTATGTACAAAAAAACTGCATTAAAAATAAAACAATGTAAAACTTTAGAGTCTAGAAGTCCACTCAGTCCTACTTCTTGTCCACTCAGACATACAAGTTTGTTTACAGTTGCAAGAAATAATGCTGCCCGCTTCTTGTTTGCAATGTTACCTGAAAGTGAGAACAGCTGTTCACATGGCACTATTGTAGCCAGCATCGCAAAATATTTACATGCCAGATGCGCTAAAGATTTTTATGTCCCTTCATGCTTCAACCACCATTCCAGAGGACATGCGTCCATGCTGATGATGTGTTCTGCTCGATAACAATCCAAAGCAGCGTGGACCAGCGCATGCTCATTTTCATCATCTGAGTCAGATGCCACAAGCAGAAGGTTGATTTTCCTTTTTGGTGGTTCAGGTTCAGTAGTTTCCACATCGGAGTGTTGCTCTTTTAAGACTTCTGAAAGCATGCTCCACACCTTGTCCCTCTCAGCTTTTGGAAGGCACTTCAGATTCTTAAACCTTGGGTCAAGTGCTGTAGCTATCTTTAGAAATCTCACATTGGTATCTTCTTTGCGTTTTGTCAATCTGCAGTGAAAGTGTTCTTAAAGTGAACAATATGTGCTGTACACTTTGTATTCTGTGTTGTAATTGAAAATGTAGAAAAACATCCACAAATATTTAATAAATTTCAATTGGTATTCTATTGTTTAGCAGTGCGATTAAAATTGTGATTAATTGCGATTAATTTTTTTGAGTTAATTGCGTGAGTTAACTGTGATTAATCAACAGCCCTAATATTTATATTTCACCTCTATATCCTAAATATATCTGATACATTTTAGCATTGGTCACAGGAGGATAGCTGTAGCATAGCAGAGCTCCACCCTATTCCCTCCCTACCCCCGACGTGCCCCCTCCCATTAATTAACTATGTTCAGTAACCAGGCTAAAGCTTGGACTTTCATTGGCTTAATAATAAAGCACAGAGGAGCCACATCTCACTGCGTACTTCCCTGTGAGACTCTTAACTAGTCACAGTGTCACCACTGTCACAGTTTCCTGCCTTCATTCTGCGCGTTTGCTCCCAAGTCAATGGCACTTTCTCTTGCAGAGCTGTTTTTCCCACAAGTCAATCCCTGGATGGTGGCTCTGGGTGTGATCCTGGCTGTTCTCCTTCCCCTGGCCGGTTACTGCTTCTGGAGGCAACACAGAGCAAAAGGTGAAGTAACAAGAGGGGGGAATTTGGTGAGAGAGAGAGAGAAAAATTGATTGATTGATTGATTGATTGATTGATTGATTGATTGAAAAACGAAAACAAAAGTAGAGATACTAGGATTGCCAACTCTGACTGAACCTATCCAGGGAGATTTTTTTCCCAACATGACATAATGTCATTTTCTTAAAATATCCTATTAAAATCTCCTGGATTGCTTTCAGTAGTCACTGGGAGATTGATGCTGATTCCAGGAGACTCCAGGCCAATCCTGGAGAGTTGGCAACACTAAGAGATACAGGGATTCACTCTTTGGAGGAGAAAGAACAGGAGTACTTGTGGCACCTTAGAGACTAACAAATTTATTAGAGCATAAGCTTTCGTGGGCTACAACCCACTTCTTCGGATGCATATATGCA